GTGTGTGTGTGTGTGTTTGACGACGTCTTCGTTCCTCAGTGAAAAATTCATGTAATTAATGTAAAAAAAAAAAAAAAGACAAATGTATGAGTGTGTTTGAGTCTCAGATTAATTTTTCACCTTGATTAAAGGAAACGAAACGACGAGTGTTTTTTTGGTGAAATCGACTTTATTTAACTTTGATTTGTAAAAATCCAAATTAATTTTATCTCAATGAAACTTAATTTTTTTCTTTACATTAAAATAAAAATCTTCATCATTTTAAAAACCGTTTCCTTCAGATCCGGGGTCACGACCTCACAGCCGGCTGATTCAGCGCTCCAGCACCACGGACAGCGACAGAACAAAAGAACCAATGAGCGACGAGTTGGTGACGGTAAACGGTCGTGTCTGAAAATAAACTTTTTATTTTTTATTTAAATTTTGTCATAATTTTATCAAAACGTTAGAAACTTTGACGACGATTCGCTGGAGTTCAGTTTCTGATCGTGACTCCACGTGATTGGTGGTTGAACAGGTGATTTTTAGTGGGACTAACAACACTGACATGTGGAAACACAGTGGTCACATTAGGTACTGCGGCTATATTTATACATGCGTCTTGTTTCATTCAACTGTTAAATGAATCCTGACCTCCATAATGTTCAGAGCTGAGCAACAACGACATCTATGGACGAAAACTATGCATGTCCGATAATATCGTCCCGATCAATTATTGGACCGATATTAGCGAATGATGTCATATCTGTAAGAAGCGTTATCGTTTTTTTCCTCCGATAATGAAAACCCGATAACGCAACACCTGGGTTTAGTCAAATGATGTGTGACCTAAAAATAGTTTTTGGGAAAAACGGCTGTATATGAAAGGGAAAGCCACTAGATGGCAGCATTGCAGCTCAGTTTATTAATCTATATTAATAATCAGGGGATTCTATGCAGAATGCTGGTGCCAGCAACTCATTGCAGTGGTTTGTACAGATAAACATATAAATCCGGGGACGAGGGAATGTTGTCCACTAGGGGGGGCATGGCAGAAAATAATTGAGAAACACTGCTTTAACCCATCACCTTAGTGAGTAGGCGGACACACAACTTCCGTAACCAACAGGCTACTACTGCCCCCGCTATATCTGTAACGGTTGATATCGGAATCGGAAGTGTTTGGCAAAAGGTTAATATCGGACATCCCTAATAATAAATATTTAAAATTTTTCATTAACAATACTGAATGGGTTTGTTTGATGTAGTAGTGACCTTGGCTTTTGGTTAGGTTAAAAAAAATTCCCTCAAACAAATACTGTGTCCAAAGAAATTTCTAATTTGTGTCCTTGATAACTTTATTACCTTTACCGGAACCATTACAAATTCCTCTCTAATTCCCCATTTTTTTCTTATCCAAATATTCCTTATAAGACCATTTGTCAATAAATGAATGAATGACCTTTTTAATCAAAAAATATTTGGGGTCAAACAAACAGTTTAGAGTGATTTTAATTAGTAAAAAACAGTTCTGTCATTATGGCTAAAACAGCAATTCATTTTAGTTAGTTTAACTCAGGCTCTTGTCAACAGCCTAATTAATTTGTGAAGCTATATGGGGAGAAATTTCAATGCAAGGGCAAAATGCACACTGTCTATCCAATAATTTCCAATCACCTATTCACGTATGCTCTAATACACAGTCAATACACATATTATTACGTGCCTACACATATATAAAAAATACATATAAAATATATACATGAATATATATGGAAATATACAAATATTTATAAATATATATATAAATATATATATATTCTGTATATATACATATATATTTATATATATTAGCAGAGGGAGAGTGAGAGACTTCACTGAACTTACACAAATATACCTGACATGGACATGATTTATTTAACAAACTACAGTTTATTATAAGAATGATGAGAGTGGTGTACCTCCCCTGCGCTGTAGCTGCGTAGTCTCTGTAGGTGTTGTTTGTGTGCAAGGTGACCCGGCAGCCGGCTGTTCTGCAGCGGAATGCGGGGGTCAATGAAGGTTGTCGCCCGACTGTTGTGGTCCACGAAGAAAGACTGAAAAGACAGAGAAAGGTGAAAAACCCAAATTGCATCCTGTCAGACTGCATGTGAGTTTTTCAAATTGTGTATGCATTTTTAGAACCAAAAAAAACAAACTTTTTCCTTACTCTTTTTGTGTGTGTGTTTGCCTGTCTAAGGTGCCTTCAGATACCATCGGAAATTTGAGAATCTGACAATTATGTATCATACAGTTCAGGACAAATGGTTATGAAAAAAAAACTTCATTTAAAAAAAAAAGAGAATACTGAGGCCCCCTCTGCAGCCCACCAGGGGGCGACAGGCCCCCACTATGAAAATCACTGCTCCAGAGAGCATTGTGAGCGACAACCAAGAAACAGGGAGGAGAAATTATTTTTCAGCATAACTGTCTCAGCAGTACTGTCTGGACAGTTTCCATGTTTTTCGTGACATGGTCATTAAATTTCCAGGTTTTCCGGGACTTGTGGGAACCAACTTTCAGTAATAATTGAATTTGCTCCAGTATTAATAAAAATAACCAGATACTGCTGCATGTTTACAGTCAATCTGACCTCCGTGTTTTCACCTTGGGTAGCCTAGCAACAATGGCTCAAATCTTTCTCTTGAAAATAATTAAAACAGGAAATAAATAAAATGATTGCATTATATTTTGTTGTTACATCTTTTCCCAAGGCTACAATTCAGTCCTGTTAACAGTGGTGAATGTTATTCTGTATATGAACTAACTGACCTTGCCCTGAGGGTCAGTTTTAATCTCCCAGCCCCTTGGCAGTTCCAGCTGCATGTCGGCAAACTTGTTGAGAAAAACCACCAGGTCCCTGTTATGCTGGTAGCGCTCAAAGTTTCTGGCGTCACGGCGTACTTTCAAGATCATGTGTTTGACACAACTGCTGCTGGTAAACATCCGGTAGGCTGCCTGGAAAATGATTAGAAATTTACAAATTAGGATTAGGAGTGCTGACCAATAGATAACAATTTTTGTCTTTATTAGGTAGTGAAGTCACAATTAAGGTTCATTTTGACAACGTGTTGGTATACACGGGGATCCTCGACTTAAGTTGGAATACGTTTCTACAGCGCAAAGTGACTTGATTTTTATCATAAGTCAACACTCACATATAGTACATAAGTACCTATGTCACTCTACTAACACAGTGGTAATATAATAATCTCTGACATAAAAACATCAGAAGAATGATATAAGCTTTACCAGAGCTCTAAATTCTTTCATTAGATCTGTTTTGTTATGGCAAGTACAGTAAAAATATATGCGATCTTGACTTATGTTTGACTTGGGTTTTAAACTGATGCAGGTTGTGATTTTTGTTTTACCTATGTGAAATAAATATAAATAACTATAATGTTTAAAAAACCCATCAAGAGTCTGACTTACATTTGGAAGCCAAAATGAAAGGCAAAAAGTTCCTAGAGAAACAACACAAACGAAAAAAAGCTAATGTAGCACAATTGTTGTACGCCATACATTGGCTATGGCGTACAACCGGCGAATATAAACAAAGCTGTCTTCCACGTATAGCGCCGCATAACGACACATTCGTCCACTCGCCATCTGGCAATTTACTAGTTTGCACAAAAACTACTTGGAGTGTTTTAACGACACACGTCGGAGTGATGGGAGTTTTCTCAATAAATTGATGGGAAATGGCGATCTAACCATGAAACGCTGTAAGTCGAGGACCCTGAGGACTTGGGCTACATGACGGGGATAGAACTACAACAAATCAGTATATATTTGCATGCAATTTTACTCACATAGTTACTGTGCAACACAGTGAAGAATTCTGGGTGTGTGATGAATTTAACAGCAGGAGACTGGAAGAGATTACTCATCTTCTGGTGAGTGACAGGGGAAGAGGGGCCTGTGTGGATTTGAAGGGAATTTATTTTTGAAAAAATAGACCAGTGTATATTTTTAACCAAATATAAAAATACAGGTGAAAAATACATGATGTAATAGTACCTGGTGGTACAGAGTCCGGATCGGTTTCTGTGCTGCTACTGCGCTCTAATCTCTGACTCCCTCCTTCCTCTTCTGTGGCCATGGTTCTCTGAATGTTCTGGTACCTGCAGAAATCAAGACGGATTACCGTGAGGTCAATGGTAGTTTTCCGCATAATCTGATGAGATTTTCTGATAGTTCCATCATCTGTCACTAGGTGTCAGTCTTACACCTACTTATATTTTGCAAGGTTTGGGATCGGAGAGCTGGAGCCCATCCCATTGCAGGGCCACATAAAAAACAAAGATCCATTGATACTAATACTCATATCTAATTAGTTAATTACTAGTTAAATAATCCTAGTCTTATACATATACTACAGTACTAATCCAAAGCGAGGGTTCACTTCAGATTTGCGTTGGTGGCTACTTTTTTAAGCCATACTTTCAACATGTCTGTGGCCATAGCTTTTGTCCTGCAAGTTTAGTAGGTAAAATGTGTGAAACTATACTTTTGATATATTCAGCTCATATTTTCTCTTGTCACATTATGTCTGAAATAAAAAAAGAATGAAGGAATAAAAGTCCACAGTACACGGTAGATCATAAACATGAATATAGTGGAGCTGCAATAGAGTTTGTTTTCTCCATTTAGGATGTAGTTAAGATGGAGGCTATGGTTGGTGTTGTAATTAATGAAGAATAGCATGTCATCGGTATAACAATAGATCAAAGACAGTGAACAAAATTTGGGGACAGTTACGACCATCTCTCTCTCTCTCTCTCTCTTTCACTGAGTCTGACCTCCTGTTGAGTTGCTCCATTTGCTGGGTTGATCCTGAGCGTGGGATGCCATGGTTGCACTTGCTGCCGTGGTTAGGTCTCTGCCATGTTGTTGTCCTGTTTACATGGTCCACATAAAACACTCGGCCATGGCTGTCAATGCGAGCTTCCCAGTCTGTGACAGCATAAAAAGAGCAACAAAATGATCACTCAACCTCTTAAATTCAGTAAGTTTTTTTTTACTTGCTATCCGATGTAGACTTAACAGAGCGCTTCACGTTACACTGGCAACTTTGGTTTTAGATTCTTATGTCAGAGCAAAGATTTTTAGTTGTTTTAGTGATTTGACAGAGACCTAAAAATACAGTAAGCCATCATCAGCATATAGGTGGAAGAAGATTATCTGTCCTGGAAAAATAAAAATGCCAAAAGGGCAAACGACAGACAAAAAGGCAGCAGTCCAAGGATTGAGCCCTGTGGCACACCCCGGCAGTTTGTCAGTGGTGGTGGAAAGTTACCAATTTTTAACACAAAACTCTCCTCAGAGGTAGGACATAAATTACTGGAGCGCTGGGCCTGTGATGCCCACACACTGCTACAGTCTCGAGATGAGTCATTGTAATCAACAATTTCAAAGGCTGTTGTTACATCTAAAAAAAAAAAAAACCCCGAAAGACTTTACTGTCACCAAAATCAGTTGCTAAAAATATATCACTTAAATTACTTAACAAGGCAAACTCAATGCTATGCTGAATAACTTCGGAAGTTAATTTTGTATGAGGCATGGAACCAACTGGGAATGAAGAATAGTATCTTACTTAAAAAAGATGATTTAGAGATGCACCTTTAATATGACAAAGTCATAGAGTCAAACTGTGATTTGTTTCTGTCTTTTTCCACAGTTGCTCCACTCTCGTCTAAGAGTGCCATCATTTAACCAAGGTTCTGATCTGGGCAATAGTACCCAGAACGGTTTGCCAAGTGGTAGGGAATTAAAGGAATTAAAGGCGATCACAATTTCGAGTTTGTCTTTTATGCATTTTTTTACTTTCAAAATTCAGGCTGGATTCAATCCCATACTGGGCCAGTTTTGGCCACTGGGCTGTACATTTAAAGCCTTTGCCTTAACATTTGTTCAGATTCACTCATTGCCAGCATGTTGTGTGATTTCAGGAGCGCCAAAAACCCCTCCGAAAAATTCATCCAACAGGCTTTCAGCATCACAGGCAGTATCAACCCTGCCTCCCTCAACATGGGCAGCGGACAGATGGGAGGGCAGAGGGTATTGTCCTTCAAGGGGCAAACTGTTTAGTTAAGTCAGCCAGCCAATGTAGCTCCAAGAGCTTTTTCTTGTCTGTACCCATGACGTCATTTTTTTTGGGACAAACAAGGACATCAACAAAAACACAAGCAAAATAAAGAGTAAAGAGTAGTGGGCAGCATGCTGCATACACTGGCTCCATCTTGGTGGCTGTTCTTTTCATGAAAATATTTTACCATGACTGAACACATGCTGGATGTAAAGACCTGTATTTGGAGAAGAGCTTTACAAACTCAGGAATTTAAAAACACTTCAGAGTAAATAAATCATCTTCCATTGTCCTGAACTTTAACTTCAAAAGATTAACTCTCCAGAGCGCTGCACGAGATGGCTGTTGTTGCAACAACCACCATGCTGCAACATTGTTCTTGTTATGCGAGTGTGATAGACCACAGTCAGTTTTAATCAGCCTTTTGACTACAACAAATATGTGTGTATGTGTTAAGTGGGAACTGCAACAGCAGATTTTCACAGCTTTGACAAGCTGCTGTGACTGAATGAATGAAAACCGATTCCCGCCCCCTTAAGGCCACCAGACACACCTTGCCAATCACCCACAGGCTCAGTCACATTTGGTCCTCACTACACTGCTGACGTTGGACTTAAACTGCAGGTAACAAAGTTCAGGTTCAGGAAAAGGATGGCTCGATCCGATACTCAGGATTGGTATCGGTCTGATAATGCTAAAAATTTCAGGATACAATAAAGAAAAAACAAAACAACTAAAGCCAATCCGATCCAGTGAATCCAAGGTCCAAACGCTCTACCTAACTTTTCGCGACAATGGCAGTCCGCGACTTGCTGGAGGAGAAAAGAAGGCATTGGATTGGATTGATGTCGGTATCGGCAGATACTCCAAGTTGCAGCATCGGTATCAGACATGAAAAAGTTGTATCGAGTAATCCGTACTTCAGGACATAAGACCAATCTTAAAACTGGAGCCAGCACAGCAGTCAAGACGTAAAGAATAGGAGGTGGGTGAAACATGGCCTGGCCTGGTTCGCCAGTCCACCTCAGGTCCACGTACATGAACTAATAACCATTAAACCACTTACCATCTTTGAACAACCGTTAATGCTCTTGGTAAATTCAGAGCTAGTTAATCTTATCACCAACCTACATTCACTGTCCTGAGAATGGCATTGCTTTTAAGACTGAAGACATTTACAGAGAAAGTAAACAATTAGTCCTTTTAAAGAAGATGTGATACCTGCTTCCTTGAAATACAAAGTGAAGGAATCAGGTGTTAAAAAAAAGAAGATATCTTGCGGTAAAGCATGACAGGGCAGAAAATGATATGGTGAGGGTAAAAAAAAAAGGAGTAAAAATATGGCGGCATGCACACAGACACAGCAAGCTAAGGTGGTAGGATGAGACTCCAGAGTAAGACTAGGAGCTGGTGCTTCTTACTTGGAGGTAAGACTTGGTCAGTGGCAGCAGGAAAATGGTTAAGGTCATGGCTGGGTCGCAGTACTGGAAGTTGGCCAACAGGAGGGGAAGAGTCTGAGCCTAAGGGACATCAGAGAGACAGTATGGGTTGAATTACACTAAACCCTGCAGATCAGGGAAAGA